GGGGGGGGGGGGGGGGGGGGGGGGGGGGGGGGGGGGGGGGGGGGGGGGGGGGGGGGGGGGGGGGGGGGGGGGGGGGGGGGGGGGGGGGGGGGGGGGGGGGGGGGGGGGGGGGGGGGGGGGGGGGGGGGGGGGGGGGGGGGGGGGGGGGGGGGGGGGGGGGGGGGGGGGGGGGGGGGGGGGGGGGGGGGGGGGGGGGGGGGGGGGGGGGGGGGGGGGGGGGGGGGGGGGGGGGGGGGGGGGGGGGGGGGGGGGGGGGGGGGGGGGGGGGGGGGGGGGGGGGGGGGGGGGGGGGGGGGGGGGGGGGGGGGGGGGGGGGGGGGGGGGGGGGGGGGGGGGGGGGGGGGGGGGGGGGGGGGGGGGGGGGGGGGGGGGGGGGGGGGGGGGGGGGGGGGGGGGGGGGGGGGGGGGGGGGGGGGGGGGGGGGGGGGGGGGGGGGGGGGGGGGGGGGGGGGGGGGGGGGGGGGGGGGGGGGGGGGGGGGGGGGGGGGGGGGGGGGGGGGGGGGGGGGGGGGGGGGGGGGGGGGGGGGGGGGGGGGGGGGGGGGGGGGGGGGGGGGGGGGGGGGGGGGGGGGGGGGGGGGGGGGGGGGGGGGGGGGGGGGGGGGGGGGGGGGGGGGGGGGGGGGGGGGGGGGGGGGGGGGGGGGGGGGGGGGGGGGGGGGGGGGGGGGGGGGGGGGGGGGGGGGGGGGGGGGGGGGGGGGGGGGGGGGGGGGGGGGGGGGGGGGGGGGGGGGGGGGGGGGGGGGGGGGGGGGGGGGGGGGGGGGGGGGGGGGGGGGGGGGGGGGGGGGGGGGGGGGGGGGGGGGGGGGGGGGGGGGGGGGGGGGGGGGGGGGGGGGGGGGGGGGGGGGGGGGGGGGGGGGGGGGGGGGGGGGGGGGGGGGGGGGGGGGGGGGGGGGGGGGGGGGGGGGGGGGGGGGGGGGGGGGGGGGGGGGGGGGGGGGGGGGGGGGGGGGGGGGGGGGGGGGGGGGGGGGGGGGGGGGGGGGGGGGGGGGGGGGGGGGGGGGGGGGGGGGGGGGGGGGGGGGGGGGGGGGGGGGGGGGGGGGGGGGGGGGGGGGGGGGGGGGGGGGGGGGGGGGGGGGGGGGGGGGGGGGGGGGGGGGGGGGGGGGGGGGGGGGGGGGGGGGGGGGGGGGGGGGCGGGGGGGGGGGGGGGGGGGGGGGGGGGGGGGCCGCCCGGGGGGGGGGGGGGGGGGCCCCCCCGGGGGGGGGGGGGGGGGGGGGGGGGGGGGGGGGGGGGGGGGGGGGGGGGGGGGGGGGGGGGGGGGGGGGGGGGGGGGGGGGGGGGGGGGGGGGGGGGGGGGGGGGGGGGGGGGGGGGGGGGGGGGGGGGGGGGGGGGGGGGGGGGGGGGGGGGGGGGGGGGGGGGGGGGGGGGGGGGGGGGGGGGGGGGGGGGGGGGGGGGGGGGGGGGGGGGGGGGGGGGCGGCCGAAGGGGGGGGGGGGGGGGAGAAGGAGGGGGGGGGGGGGGGGGGGGGGGGGGGGGGGGGGGGGGGGGGGGGGGGGGGGGGGGGGGGGGGGGGGGGGGCCCCCGGGGGGGGGGGGGGGGGGGGGGGGGGGGGGGGGGGGGGGGGGGCCCCCCCCCCCGGGGGGGGGGGGGGGGGGGGGGGGGGGGGGGGGGGGGGGGGGGGGGGGGGGGGGGGGGGGGGGGGGGGGGGGGGGGGGGGGGGGGGGGGGGGGGGGGGGGGGGGGGGGGGGGGGGGGGGGGGGGGGGCCCCCCCGGGCCCCCCCCCCCCCCGGGCCCCCCAGGGGGGGGGGGGGGGGGGGGGGGGGGGGGGGGGGGGGGGGGGGGGGGGGGGGGGGGGGGGGGGGGGGGGGGGGGGGGGGGGGGGGGGGGGGGGGGGGGGGGGGGGGGGGGGGGCCGGGGGGGGGGGGGGGGGGGGGGGGGGGGGGGGGGGGGGGGGGGGGGGGGGGGGGGGGGGGGGGGGGGGGGGCGGGGGGGGGGGGGGGGGGGGGGCGCCCGGGGGGGGGGCCCCCCCCGCGGGGGCCCCCCGGGGGGGGCGCCCCCCGGGGGGGGGCCCCGCGGGGGGGGGGGGGGGGGGGGGGGGGGGGGGGGGGGGGGGGGGGGGCGCCCCAAGGGGGGGGGGGGGCGGGGGGGGGGGGGGGGGGGGGGGGGGGGGGGGGGGGGGGGGGGGGGGGGGGGGGGGGGCAAAGGGGGGGGGGGGGGGGGGGGGGGGGGGGGGGGGGGGGGGGGGGGGGGGGGGGGGGGGGGGGGGGGGGGGGGCCCGGGGGAGGGGGGGGGGGGGGGGGGGGGGGGGGGGGGGGGGGGGGGGGGGGGGGGGGGGGGGGGGGGGGGGGGGGGGGGGGGGGGGAGGGGGGGGGGGGGGGGGGGGGGGGGGGGGGGGGGGGGGGGGGGGGGGGGGGGGGGGGGGGGGGGGGGGGGGGAGGGGGGGGGAGAAAGGGGGGAAAAAAGGGGGGGGGGGGGGGGGTGCCCGGAAAGGGGGGGGGGGGGGAAGTCCCCGGGGAGGGGGGGGGGGGGGGGTTTTTGGGGGGGTTTTGGGGGCGCCCCCCGGGGGGGGGGGGGGGGGGGGGAAGGGGGGGGGGGGGGGGGGGGCCCGGAAAACCAAAACCGGGGTCCCCGGGTCAAGAAAGGAAAAAAAAAAAAAAAGTGCAAGGGAGAGAACAACACTCTCTTGGGGTTTGGGGGGGGGGGTGGTATTTTTAATTAATAGGGGCGGCCCGCAGAGGAGAGAATTCCCTTGGAAAAAAAAAAAAAGGGGGGGGGGGAAGAAAAAAAAGGGGTGAATTTTGGGCCGGGGGTTGGGAAAAAAAAAAAACCCAAATTTGGGGATTTTTTGGAAGGGGTTTAAATTCAAAATCCTTTGGTAGGGTTTAACGGGTTGTAACGTGTACTAAAGGCTGTCGACCGCCAAGTACGACTTTATCAGCTTACGCATACTTTTATACGCATTATAATTGCAATACACTTTTAATGGAACACTACTAACGTAAATACTACACTTTTAAGAAAAACGGCTATAAATGCGTATTTTTTTACACTAAACTATTAATTACCTAAACTTTTGGACTGCTTTTAGCAATATTCCGCTGAAATAACCAACTTCCTGGCAATAGATAGCGTTAATATGGCAACATTTTAATAGGCTCTAAATCATAATATCGTATAGTTATCTGTCAATTGATATGGTTGTCTCTCGCTAACCACGATTGCAAATAATAAATTCGTGTTTATATCCGTTGAAGAAGTTTTATTTGAATAGATCTAATGGTATTTATAGGAATAGATGGTATTCCTACATTTTAACCTATTTTCAAAAAGGTCTCGTATCGTCGGAAGACGGAATCTCTTTTTGTTTATGTTCCTTGGTAACTCGCTGACCGCACTGTATCTGGACTGTACCAGGATCTAAGATGGGACCTGGAGAAACCGAGGTTCTTCAAATTTAATATCACAATTGAAACAATTTGGCAATTTTTATTTAACATACATTTAATTATACTATAAGGAAAATAAATTAGGTTATAAAAATTATATCCAGATAAATACAATGTAATTCATACATAAACTAAACATATAATATATTTTTTATAATTTTAAATTAAAAATGTTAATAAATCATAGTCAATTTTAATTATTATTAAACAAAAATACTTGATATATTCAATAAAGTGTCCTAGTCTAAAAATAACAAGCCAAAAAACTTACCCGGGTTTAACTTTTTACAAACATGTTAACAAAACATAAATAACGTAGCACCATACACTTAAATACGCTAGGATCATTCAAACCTTTATATTATAATAAACTTAGCAAGTAGATTTTTTACCATTTGTATTAATAGTTTTAGATGAGCATTAATTTAAAACGGTATTACCTTGAAATGGTAAAAAGTTTTATAAATGCATGAAAAACTTGTTATTAAATCCATATATGGAAATATGCAAGGTACTTCCGGTTGAGTCAATCTTGGTACATGTAAGATAAGCTGTCTTTGCCTCCCGAAGGTGGTCCAGATCAATATAAATTATATATCTCACTTACCTTAGCCACAAACAAGTAGCCAAACATACGATAGCAATATGAGACGAGGATATGGTTCTTTACAAAATAAACAAGTGTAAATAATATAATAAAATATAATCTGTACCATTCATACTGACACCGTGTAAGAATAATATTTTTTTGTCAATCAACTTAACCACAAATAATTCATGTTATAATTAGAATAATCGACAGCACGAGATAGTTTGACTAATGTTTTGTTTACTTTATTAGTAAATAAAAAATATATTACCTTTTACCGAAGTTTTCATTACTTATCTCAATTCTACTATTGTATTCTAATAAATGAAAATTTGTCCTTATGTTTTGTTTGCGGTAGTCTGCATGCCCCTACTACCTACTAGAGTTTCCGGCGAAACGATAATTTGCCTTACCTACCTGTAAGAACGAGGTCTGATCAAAACGTAGGAAATTGGTCTATCCATTCTAGAGCATTTCTGAATATAACAAATTCACAATTTCAAATAATATTAAAAAAATATCAGAACCACAATTTTATAAGCAGACGTCTATTTCTTGGCAACCTTGATAAACAGCTTCCAATAAAGGTTGAGGTTTTATTAAACCTTCAAATATTGCCCTTTCAAAGGATTCCATCGCACTATATTTAAAAAAATAGTCTGAGCAACATGTTTGAATAAATACTACATTTTATTAAAGTGAATTAATTGACTCAACTGAGTCTTTTAATTACTAAACCATTAGTTAAATGACAAATTAATTTCAATAGCAAAGACATAAAATTAATAATATTTACTACTTTGTCATAATTAAATATAGGAAATATTTTTTGCAAATGTTCTATTGTTATAAATTTTTAAAAATATCACCAATTATCACGACTTTATTAGGACTTCGTTAATTCTTGAGACCTTAACTATAAGGTCATTTGGATATTATAAAACTGTGCAGCTCTTTACAACAAAAACACAACCAAGTTAAAATTAACTGTGATAAGAATAAAATATTAAATAAATATGTAATGATGTTATTAACTGTGCTATGCAGTGTGTTTGTTGGTGTATGTTCGGTCAGTGCTTCAGGTCCTAAAAAGCTTTTAACATATTCACTATCAGATAACCGCCCTTTAAAAAAGGCTCTTGGATATGATGAAGATGTCTTCTTTAATTTTACTGAGCTGACGTCAAAATACGGATATTTAACAGAGGATCACGTAGTTACAACTGAAGATGGTTATATATTAAACGTATTTCGGATACCCTCAAAATGTGATAACACCAAAGGTTATCCCGTTATTCTAATGCACGGTCTTGTGGACAGCTCGGATGCTTGGATACTAGCAGGGCCCCAAGTTGGATTAGCGTATATTCTATCCGATAACTGCTACGACGTATGGGCAGCAAACGGTAGAGGTAACACATATTCAAGAAACCATATATCACTGGACCCCAATAAAGATCCTGAATACTGGAATTTTTCTTTCGATGAAACTGGAAACTATGATCTTCCAGCAATCATTGACTACGTGACACAAACAACTGAGAAGCCTAAGGTTTACTACGTGGGCCACTCTCAAGGTACCACAGATTATTTTATAATGGCTTCGTTAAGACCGGAGTACAATACAAAAATTCAGCTATCTGTAAATTTGGCACCTATTGCTTTTATGAAATATATTAAAAGCCCCATACCCATAATCCTAGCACAACAGACCGAAATTTTCAAAAAATTTCTTGATGAATTAGGCTTTGGAGAAATTTTTGCTAAGCAACAAATCCTACACCACCTAGTTGAAAAGATTTGTCAATTAGCCCCAGAACCTATATGTGGAACGGGATTAGCTCTGACAACAGGTTATAAGCGTGATAGTATATCAGAAAGAACGTTGTCCATCGCATTTGGGCACTTACTGGTTGGCATTTCAAGTAAAACTTTCTCACATTTCGGACAACTAATTGTCTCCAAGAAGTTCCAGCGTTATGACGAGGGCAAAGAAGGAAATTTTCAAAGATATGGAACAGAACGTCCCCCGGATTACAATATTAGCTTGGTCACGTCACCTGTACTTCTTATCTGCGGCATAAATGATTGGGTTTCGTCTTTAGAAGATGTTAACGAGCTTAGTTCAAAACTGCCGAACATGGTAGAAGAATATGTTGTACCGGATCCAACATGGAGTCACAACAATCATTTGTGGGGTATAAATGCTCCCAAATATGTTTTCAATAAGATATTAAGTTACTTTAGAGTGTACGACGTTAAATAAGAATATTAAATCCTATTGAGGTTATACAATAAACTCAACTTTAAGATATTTTAGGAGAATATATGTGATCTACCTCAATGTCGAATACTTAACCTTAAGTTATTATGTGAGAACGCCAAAGATCATGAACAAAATGCTAATTTAATTATCGTTTTTCTTATTCAAGGTGGAGAAACAATTAAAACTGTCCTAGCGGAAAAACTATATTTTTAAACAGACTATGATGTAAATATTGTAGTACTTGATTGTCCTAGAGAATGATTACACAATAAAGGGCTTCTTCCACTAGATCTAGATAAATGGGATAGCATTCTGTATTTGTCACATGACATTTTTAATTGCATACAAGTAGGTGAGTCTAATCGTCCTTATATTATTATGGTATTAGTGCTCAATTACAGACCTAAGTATTCAACAACATATTATAATTTATCAATTACTAGTTGGCTCAACGCAATCTATCATGGCAACATCAATCATTTGTGATCTTTAATTAAATAAGCAAAATTATATTGTATATTTTAAAATTAAACTATTTATTTACTAGTTTACATTATTGTTATTCTTGCAATTGTTGCATTTAGCAAATACCTTTTTGATATTCTACTGGTATTCCAGATTCCAAGTAACTGTATCGATTGGCGTGCATTCATAGTTTGCAGAAGTCAGTTTTAAATATTTATATTTACCCCGACGTGTTTGTATCCGTAGTAGCTCTGATATTATTAGCATTGTTATGATCGGTATCGCTGTCCGTAAGGCTATTGGAAGTAACAGAGTTAAAGGCTCCGTTGTGATATGGTATATAATTTAAATGTTGCCACATATAAGTTCAGAAAGCCCCCAATATGGCATAGCGCAAACGGATTTCTGCGTTTGTGTTATTGTTTTTAATAGAAAGCCTCACACCTTTTTGATTATTCCACTGTCGGGGACTATTATTACTACTACTACTACTACGACCACCGCAGATTTTCGGATATCTCTGGGCGTACATGTTTGGTTTGCCGTTTGATATTTGTCCTTCACTGTACGATCAGGTATTAATAGCAAAAACCACTTAAACGTAAGGCCTCTAGAGCTATTGTTCATCTGTATTCAAATTAAAAAGAAATAATCAGTGGCGCTACAACCTCTTTCCTCAGGTTTCGTGACCTCAGATTTCTGAATCTGTTTCATGATCATTTTTTAATGTAATAGGCAAGTAGGTGATCAGCGTAAGACATGTCGGTTTCCTTATATTACGATATTTTCCTTCACCGTTCGAGCAAATGTTAAATGCGCACATAGAAAGAAAGTCCATTGGTGCACTGCCGGGGATCGACCCTACGACCTCAAGTATGAGAGTCGCACGCTGAAGCCACTAGGCCAACACTGCTCTGTATTTAATGTACAAAAGATGAATATTTACTGAATTTAAATTATTTTGTACTGCGATGTAAATAACTACTTTACAATTTAAGAGATTTTAAAAAGCTTTTAAGAAACTACTCCAGTAAGTCATAATTTTCACTATTAAAACTGGATTGAAACTACAGAAAATTAAAGGACCAAAAAATATTCACTACTACTGCAATCAATACAGTTTTCCTCATCCAAAAATTATAATAAAAATTAATTACATAATTCTATGTATTAAATGAGTCAGTAACTAGATCTTTACGTTGCCCTGCCACTTAGTAAATTCCAAAAACATGACGTAATCCTGAATAAAACAAATTGCTACTGCAGCCACAAATATGACTAATAATGGTATTACCATTTAATTCAATATTTTAAAATGATGTATCAGTAATCTTGAAATATAAATGAATAATAGCCTAAATAAATTGAGTATAGAAAAAGGTTGATAGAATCGCAAAGTGGCGTAATGTTGCTCATCACAGCTATGTTACCTCTGCCTTCCGATTCTGTAACTCACTTTTCGAACTCACACAGCGGTTTTCACAGCGGCGCGGCGGTCGCGTTAGAAAAGTGAGTTGCATAATCGCAAGGCAGTTCTGCGCTATAGTGTCTTGTTATAGGGAAATTTGGTAGAAGTGAATAAAGTTTTTATTACTCCGAAAAAATGTTTTAGGGCTATTATGGGTGTTGGACCTTCTGTAAGCTGTAGACCATATTTTTACGAACTCGGCAGAGTACCAAGTTTATATATCCTTGAAGCAGTTATGACTGTAAAAAAGTATTCAAAACCATTCAAAACATTTAAAGAAACTTGCTTGTATCTATCGAGGTATCCTACACGGCTGTGAGTGGCAGCGTGTAACACGATGGATTTGAAAAATTGTTACTCCATAGCTATCAAACATTTTATTCACCTTCCCAGAATCTTTCAAGGGAAAGGTGATTAGATTATTAAAGGAAGGCTTTATAATATGGGAAAGTTTTCAGATCATGTTTTGACAACGATTATAAATAACTTAAATGCTAATTTTAATATGGCTGATTGTTTTTATAATAAATCAATCTGAATGTACGATTTTCTTCCAAATAAACGATTTATTTCTTTATTGAAAACAATCTGTTTGTATTTTGACAAGTATCAAATGTTCTAGTTTACAATATTTCGCAGTGCATAACTTTCAAACTTCAATACTTAACTAGCAAGAAGTATTCGAACTTTTCCTCCGGTTGTTACGGTTGGAGTTGGCACGATTAGATTCCCTTCCAGTACTTAAAAAAGCCCACAAGTTTGGTTTACGCGACTTGACTTAAAACGTATTCGATTGTAATAAGTTTATAAAAAAAATCCCATACCTAAAATTATTATCAATTACAGTAAGGTCAATAGTTACATAAAGTTACTTGAATATCCATAGATTTTGATCTTATCAATTGCAATCAGAATAAGTTTAACGTAACGGCACAGGGCAACACATATTGAATTAAATTTGATATCGCACCACCATAAAATTCTAAATGAGCATTATTATTTATTTATTCTATAGATGAAGCTTTTATGTTATTTCACATTTAGTCGTAGACTACTTTAAATGATCACTGGCATTCGAATTACGTGGTACTATGTATTATATGTACTGCCTTGGTGGTTTAGGTATTTATGGCGTGAAACCCGCTGCTGGGTTCGATTTCTGGCGAAAAAAATTGTTTCAGTTTTGCTTATCACCTTATTGCCTTAAAATGAAAAAGGAAAATGAAGCTGAAATGTGAAATTGGACGTTTCAGGACTTCAAAGTTATATTCTTTGTTATATACATATATTATTTTATGTTCAAGTATATTTTTTTTATTCAACAATTACAGGTATCATAAATAAACACTGGTTATTTATGTGATTGCTTTCACTAAAACACAGGAAATATTATTACCTTTTCTTTATAATAATATTGTATTTTATTCACGCGAGTATTCATACGTTGAAAGAAAAAACGCATTTTCTTTACATACATTTATTTTTTTATATTTTAGAATCCTTTTGAATTCAAAATTATTAGGCTGTCTTAAAGTTTCCATGTGAGCAGTCATGTTCATAATTTAAATAAAACTAAATTAATAATTAAAATTCTACTACACAGAAATCATCTACTCGGAAGGTGCTTAAATTAAAAGTCTCTCAGGTTCTCTGTGCTTATTTTTTGTCGTTAAATTATCGATATGATTTTATGTATTCAAACTATATGAATTCCGCAGAGTAGGGTAGAGCGGGGCTAGTTGAGCATAGGGGCAAGTTGGGCAATCGAAATATCTCGTTATACAGTTGGTTGGGGTAGTTGCACACAACTAGCTCAACTAACTCTAGATTTAGACAACTATGAATAACATTTATTTTTTGTTTGATGCGGACTTCCAAGAGAAGACTACAAGATGTTCTTACACTACTGAATACTTAAATAATGCTGCAAAGGCTGTCCACGATGAGGGAAAAAGTGGGGGAATACCGCCGCTAAAGAATTCGGAATTGGTTGACTTTTAAATAAATTAAATGAAGGTGATGATTATTTATGGGCTATACAACACCGAGGGAAGTATATCCTCTCTCACAAGGAACTGTTGAAAAAAATTCTTGCTGCAAATGGCATTTTTCTCCAAAAGACTCCGTCGCCTGCCGGGTGCTAAATTCCACTAGACCAATAAGATTTTCCGAAAGAATGGTTGATGAATTTTAAAAACAAAAAATCGTAGTTAATACAGAAACCAGAACCCACCAGCTTTGTAATCCTTTTTTAGAAGTTTCCGAAGTAATGGTAGGTATGCATGCTCATGTTTGTTGATTTAATTTGGTTTTATCAAATAAAATTTCTTTAAATTTTGTTTTTGTCAATAAAGACTATAAATAAAAAGCTGACTGTCTAACACATATTTTATTTCATCTCAAGAACATAGAACCCATGGTTTGGCCTAGACATTCTTAGTGTGCTTAAATTACCAAAGCTCTGCCCCCCAACAAACCCCCCCCCCATGGGGTACATTGAGCATACTTGACTTTCTGCATTTAAACATCTGTGCTATTTTTGGACTTGTTACAAAAAACACTATGGACATTTTTGTTAAGGGAAAATTACTAATCCATAGGACACATAACAACTCGTTGAGACTTATATTGAGGAGCTGTATCCAAGCAAGTGAAGAATTGCTCAACTCCCGACTACCCTACTTAGGGTCTATGAAAATAGGGACAATTATCCTTTCAAAATGTATTTTGTTGAAAAGATAACTTTTTACTAACTCTATAAACAACGGAATATGTCTTCTCCTATTCTTATAAAAGTGACCTCAACAATTTTGTAGGCCAAATTTTATAAGTGGGTTATTGTTATAGCTACTTGCACGTCGCTTGGGTAAAACTGTCATAGTTATATCAGATTAGTGTAACGGAAGTCGGCGTGTGCGCAGACTGACAACATCAACACCATAACACTTGACCGTCTAACGGTGTTTAACAATCACTTCGAATCCTTTGTTGTCTAAAGGCTAGTCGACTTTCATGACTCAAATGAATAATATTCAAAAATTCAATAAAGTAGGTTAATATTTGTACC